ATAATGTTTGTACATAATATAATTAACAGTCAAAGTAATATTAATTTATATTATTTAATTTCCACATGATAATTTTATCGATGAAAATGAAACACACCGACAAGGTACTAATTTGAAAATGTTTCGATTACTACTTTAAGACGTGAATCTCGTCAGTAAATTATGAACAACTAACTCCACGTCGGTGAGCTAAAATCGTTTGGAATTAAACTGGTCAAATGCTATCCAATGGGAGATGTGAAACTCGTCGGTAAACTTTACAAATGATTATCACCTCGGTAAATTTGATCAATTGTGCAGTCAAACATACCATTAGAGATGTGGGGCTTGTCGGTAAAAGATTCCAAAGTGAATCACGTCGGTGACACTAAAAGCCTGCTGCAAAGCTGCTGCAAAGCTGCTGCACCTCGTGTCCAACGCCAACCATAATCCCCGAACCCCCACCCCTCTTGCTTCTCATTTCCGTTGAACCCCCCTTGCCTTCTTTCATTTTCAGCTTTCTCTTCCAGCCACAGTTTCCTTTTCCTCATTATTTCGGGCGAGGCAAGTAGCGAGAAATTCAACTTTTTTCTTTTTCACAATTAATAGATCAAGTAGTGGTACGTGGGGGTTCAATGATATCACCATTTCTTATCTATTTTTGTGTTATATCCAGATAGGTTATGCATATATATTTTGTTTTTTATTTTATTTTATTTTATACTTTAGGCCACCAAACAAACTTTTCTAGACACATAGGTGGAATTGCAATTTTAGCCATAACTTTTAATATTCCAACTTGCCCTTGTCGGTAAATTTAAAGAGAAAAATGCAAAATTTTTGTATTTTTACCTCTTGCTTAAACTGATTTTCTACTTATGTGTATCACGTCGGTAAACTCATTTCCGACGTCATACACATAGCCAAGAACCTCTATACAATACCAAATACCAAAACTCCAGACCTCGTTCATTTTTTTCTTTACTTCCTTCCTTTCTTCTTTTTTCTTCTTTCTCCCTTATTTTCTCTTTTATCAAATGCTTCTGATTTTTCTTGTTTATAATTATATTATATTCATGTTATTTTTTATTTATTTCTTCTCCATATCCTCTCTTTTTCTCTTCTATTCTTTTTTCTTAATTTATTAAACACTAATTTGAGTTATTCAAGTTATTTAGAGTTCTAATTTTCTTTTTTTTGCATGTTATTTTGTAGGAAACATTTGGAGAAAAATTAACATTGGGCAAATAAATTTTATTCATTTTTT